ATTACTTACTTATCTATATTATTTACTTATTAACTATATTAAGGCTTAATATAATAATATAATAATAATATTATAATATACTTTTAGTATAAGTAATTTCTTTTTATATTAAGGTCTTAGTTAATAGTTAATAATCTTATAAAATATATATCTACCTTTAAAAGGATAATATCTTTAAACCTATATATAATATATACCTATACTATTAGACTATAGGGTAAAAGATTAGACATTAAAAGTAATTCTAGTAATTAATATAGGCATAATAGTAGTATATATAGTATAAAGTAGTACCACTATAATAGTTTATTATACTATACTCCTCCCCTCTAGCTAGCTATCTATAACTACCTAAGAGGCTCCCTAAAGGTACTAACCTTATTTTAAGGACTTTAATTACTAATTTAACCCTTAAGAAGGCTATTAGTATATAAGCCCCTTATATTAGTACTTATATAACTTCTATATATATAGTAAGCCTCTTATTAATAGTAGAAGTTAAACTTAAGCTATTAGCTATATACTTTTAAAATATAATATATGCCTATATTATTAGACTATAAGGTAAAAGATTAGGTATTAAAAGTAATTCTAATAATTAATATAAGCGTAATAGTAGTATATATAGCGTAGAGTAGTACCACTATAACGGTTTATTATACTATATTATATATAATTTAATAGTCTTATATATATAGTATTTACTATTATAAGTTTTTTATAGTTCTTCCTAAATATTATACTAATTAAAATCTTTTTCTTTACTAATTTTAATATTTATAATATTAATATATATATTATATTTAGTTTAATTATATATATTATATTAAAGAGCCTTTGCGTCTCATCGGTGGCATCAAGTGCACATAAACCGACCGTCCGGGAATCGGACCCAGCCCGGCCCCGCCAGGCCGGCCGGACCCGCAGACAACAAAGAAGCGAGGAGTGGCATTCCCTGATATCATGCAGAAGGCATGACCCAAAGCGCTCATTATTACGGTGGATCTCGGCCTTAATTTTCCATGGCTGGATGTGTCGAAGGGGCTTTTTCTTTCGTGTCGCAGCAACGCCCCGAATCCACCACCCCATGGTTACCCCAGCGCCGACGAACCCCCAAAAGCGGCTATTGAAAGATTCCCCGCCCCCGCGGGGGTACCCCAATGTCTTTGGAGGGGGCTTCTTGGAGGGGCACAAGTCTTTAAGTGAATTATCGAATGGTCTTTTTTTCTTTCTTTTATAAGTCTCGCTGAATCAAGTGCACTCTTCTTATTTTTTTTAATTTTTTTCTGTTTTCTCAGACTCGTAGACAGGACCAAAAACTCACCATGGCTGCGACTTCATTCAAGCTCAACACCGGCAAAGAGATTCCCTCTCTCGGTCTCGGTACGCTCTCGCACCAACCCACTGTGCCCGAAGTACACATCGACCCGTCTCTAACACCTAGGCCAATTGAAAAAAAAAAAATAGGAACCTGGCAATCCAAGCCAGGCGAGGTCCAGACGGCCGTGTCATATGCGCTGCAGAATGGGTACAGGCTCGTCGACTGCGCGTACTGCTACGGCAACGAGGCCGAAGTGGGCGAGGGCCTCAAAGAGGCGTTTGCGGCGGGCGTCGAGCGCAAAGACGTCTTCATCATGACCAAGGTCTGGGCAACGTACAATACGCGCGTGCAAGAGTGTCTCGACAAGAGCCTCAAGGCGCTGGGCATGGATTACGTGGACATGTACCTGATTGTAAGCACCCCCCCCCCCCCCCTCGCCTTGGTTTGGGGGCTCTTTCTTCTTGGCTCAAAGTATAACTGACAATGGAGAGCTTATAGCACTGGCCTGTCCTGATGAATCCCAACGGTAAATACGTGATTCGACGTGACCCAGACTCCAATTTTGGATTTATGCGCATGGCTCATCACGTACCCAGGCAACGACGACAAGTTCCCGACCCTGCCCGACGGTAGCCGCGACATTCTCCGCGACTGGAAGCACACCGAAGCGTGGCCGCAGATGGAAGCCCTCCTCGCGACGGACAAGGTCCGCGGCATCGGCGTCAGCAATGTAACGCTACAACCAACCCCTTCTTTCCCTTGTCTCCCCTACTCACTGTGCACGCAAAAACAGTACAGCAAGAAATACCTCGAGGAACTGCTCGCGAGCTGCACCGTCGTCCCGGCCGTCAATCAGATCGAAAACCACCCGAGCCTGCCGCAGCAGGAAATCGTGGACCTCTGCCGCGCCCGCGGCATCCACGTCGTTGCGTACAGCCCGCTCGGCAGCGCGGGCAGCCCGCTGCTCACGGCCGCGCCCGTTGTCGCGATTGCGGAGAGGCGAGGCGTAAGCCCGGCGACGGTGCTACTGAGCTACCACGGTAAGTGGTCTGATTTGAGGAGATGAGAGCAAATTTCGGTGTACTAATCGGTTTCCTTTCTCTTAATCTAGTTGCGCGCGGTGCTACGGTGCTGGCCAAGTCGGTGACGCCGGCGCGCATCAAGGCGAATGCGGATATTGTCAAGCTTGACGAGGAGGATATGGAGCAGCTGCGCAAGTACTCTGAAGACCTCGCAGCCAAGAAAGAGCTGAAACGCTACGTCTATCCGCCTTTTGGTATCGACTTTGGGTTTCCTGACAAGTCATGATGAGATTGGCGATGCAGAGGGCAGAGATAGCCGTACATGGTCATAAAAGAACCAATTCAATGAAAGTCACAATCGTTTACAACGGCTTTTGATATCTCGCTATGCACCACTATGCAATACACCTTTTCAACGCCACTTAAAATCACCCACGCTACCTTGAAGTGATGCCTTTACTCCATATCCACCACCACCTTGAGCACTAGCTTCCCTTGTTCGTCCTTGACCTGGCCGGCCATGGCAAATGCCTTGGGGATATTGCTGATACCCTTGAAATGATGCGTGACGAGCGGCGACAGATCCGGCATAGCAGCTGGGCGATTGACGACCAGCTCAATGGCCCTGGCATATGTGTTGGCATAGCGAAAGACACCGAGGAGGTCGACTTCGCGGAGGGCCGCGGCGGACATGGGCAGTGTGAGGATCGGCGTCCCCATGCCGATAATCATGACTTTGCCGCCTGGCTTTGTGGCCTGTGCCCGCAACATCAGTTTCTGTCTCAACTTGCAGGGAATCTTCGTTTTCAAGACTCACGTAAATTGAAGCCTGAACACACGTCTCAACGCCGGTGCATTCGTATACAGCAGAGACCTCGCCGACGGCCTCGCCGTTGACGGTCGTGGTTTTGACCATGTCGGCGACTTTCTGCGCGTACGCGAGCTTGTCTTCAATCGTCTGCGGGCGCTCCATGGGAACAAGCACGCTCGCATCCGCAAAGCCATGTTGCACAGCAAAGTCGATGCGGTCCTTTTGGATATCGGCAATGACGACCGTCTTGGCATTGGCGGCTTTACTGACCGCCGCGGCGAGCAGGCCGACGGCGCCGGCGCCAATCACCAGCACCGTCGCGCCTTCGGGTAGGTTCGCTCTGTCGCGGGCGTGCATGGCGACGGAGAGGGGCTCAAGCACGGCGCCGAGGTCGAGCGACAAGGCCGGAGGCAGTCTAAACAGTCAGCGTCGCAAATTCATATCCTGGCTACTATCACAGGTCTGCCTTACTTGTGACACCAGCGGGCAGGGTGGTTGACGCGCTCCTGCAGCGTGCCCTGGGCGTGGGGAAAGGCCTTGGCGGAGCTGCGAAACTTGATGCCGCGGCAAATGTTGTAGCGGCCGCTGGTGCAGTACTCGCAGTTTTCGCAGGGCAAGCCGACCTCGAGGGCGACGCGGTCGCCGGGGACAAGGTCCTTCACGGCGCTGCCGGCGGCGACGACGGTGCCGCTCGACTCGTGGCCTAGAGTGAGGGGCTCGCGGACAAGGATGTCGCCGTTGCGGAAGTGATTAAAGTAGTGGAGGTCGGAGCCGCAGAGGCCGGTAGCTTGGACGGCGATTTGGACCTCATCGGCGGCGGGTGTGGGTAGGTCGCGCTCTTCCTGGGATGGATGGTGAGCAGGCGGTGACAGGGAGATTGCCCGGCGCTTCAATGAGGTGTGAGTTGTACTTACAACACGGAGATCGCGAGCACCGTGCAGGACGGAGGCTTGGACTTTTTGGCTGGACATGTTTGTAATGTGTGTGCTCTACTGCAGAGCTAGACTGTGGTCTGAACGATAAAAAAAGTCGAACAGGGGCTCAAAATCAGCAGAGAAAGTATCACAAAGATGGACTGCAAGATGAATCATGAAGAAAGAGCAACCGATTCACCCCGCGCCCAAGGAAAGACAAGCCTCCCCCACCAAACGAACCCCAAGCCGCGCAAACGGCTATTCAAAGCCGGCACCGGCTTGCTTCGGCGGGGATTGCCCAAACGGGAACTCTTCTTAGTGGGGGTCGGCCCTCTCCGGCAATTGACGCGGGGCAACTTTACAGGGGGTGCGAGCCACTGAAAAATCCACCAACGTCATGGGCAGCGGGTTGAAGTCCGCTGAAGTCTGCTGTAGCCTATTGTACAACGACCTCTTCAACATCTCCAGCGCATCCCGTCGAGAACTCTGCTCTCCCGCAGTGAATCAAGTAGCTTCCTTCTTTTTTTTTTTTTTACACATCATGGCTTCGAGCATGTTTTCGCTAGAGGGCCATACGGCCATGATCACTGGCTGCACGCGCGGCATTGGCCAAGCTGTCGCCGTTGGCCTGGCCGAAGCTGGTGCCGACATTGTCCTCGTCCAGGTAAAAAACGAACTTTTTGACTGACTGACTGACTTTTGAAATCCTCAATCGAGCTCTATACTGACCGCAGAAAAAGCGCGATACGAGCGTCGTCGAAACCAAAGACCTCGTCGAGGCTCTGGGTCGCAAGGCATGGATCTACACAGCCGACATGGCCATCCAGGAAGACGTTGCCGCTCTCACGCCCAAGATTCTCGCCGACGGCCACGAGATTCGCATCCTCGTCAACTGCGCCGGCATTCAGCGCCGGCATCCCTGCGAGGAATTTCCCGACAGCGATTTCAACGAGGTAGCTTCTTTCCCGTCCTTCCCACACTTTCACTTTATCCGGAATACACGATTGACACGCCCGCCCACACCCCAAGGTCATTCAAGTAAATCTCAATGCCGTCTTCACGCTCTGCCGCGACGTCGGCGCCCACATGCTGCAGCTCGCGCCCTCGCCCGTCACCGGCCGCCGCGGCAGCGTCATCAACTTTGCCTCGCTGCTCACCTTCCAGGGCGGCCTGACGGTGCCGGCCTACGCCGCCTCCAAGGGCGCCGTCGGCCAGGTCACCAAGAGCTTCGCCAACGAGTGGGCGAGCAGGGGCGTCACCGTCAACGCCATTGCCCCCGGCTACATTGAGACGGAGATGAACACGGCGCTGCTCGGCAATCCGGAGCGCCTGGCCAGCATCAGCGCGCGCATCCCCGCCGGCCGCTGGGGGTCGCCCGAGGATTTCAAGGGCACGGCTGTTTATCTGGCGAGCCGATCGAGCGCATATGTCAATGGCCATGTGCTGGTGGTGGATGGTGGCTGGATGGGCCGGTAAATTATTAGGGGGTCAAAACTGAGTTGAGGGCTTGGCAGAGACAATTGCCGACGGACGGTTTTCTACGGGTGGCTTCATAATTGAAACAGATAGACAACTCGCCATAAATACCTGTTGATCGGTTTACAGCAAGACACTTTGCAGACGGAAAGCAATCTTGGCGGCATTCTCTTGCTCAAGGGAGGTAATCTGAGTACAATAGTCTGTTTTACCCAATAAGACAACTAGGCCACAACTGGTTTGATCTGCACCCGCGCGCACACCAAATCGCTTGGCGCCTCAATATAAGGTATACTTTAAATTAATAAAAATTGACAAGCTTCACCGTCCCGCCCAGCTTAATCCTTATTTAATGGGTACACGGCCTCCCTCGCGCTATGGCATCCCTTCTCCGCATGGCGACCTGAAAAGAAAGGCTTGTTTGTGGCTTACTTCAAGGCGGTTGTGCCCCCTTTACTCTGGCATGCTGTCTATTCTGGCATTTCTGGAGCCACAGTCTATGCCAGATAGACACACGCAATGGCAGACAAGGAGTCATTGGCGTCGTTTGACGTTTATCCCGTCCACATGTTTGACGACTGCAAAGGCCCGCGTAGCATCATGATGCGATGGATCTTCCGCGTCGACGCACAGCTCGACGCAGACAAGCTCCGCACGGCCTTTGCGCAGGTCTTGGAAACAGGAGACTGGCGCAAGCTCGCCGGGCGTCTGCATTACACTGTACGTGGTTGGGCCAACACTTGTTTTTCTTCTTCCCATTGGAAATAACTGAACCTGCATATAGAAGACTGGCGGGCTCGAAATACACGTTCCTCATGTGTTCACGGAGCAGGACCCGCCCTTTACTTATACCCACCGCGACCACTCTGCCGAATTATTCGACGCCGACCCGGCCCGGCGCACATTTCCCCGCGCCGCGTCCGGGCCACACATATACTCCCGGACCCCGGCCGCCAACGCCGCCGTGTTCGCGCCTGTTGGCGTCCCCGCGACGCTCGCGGAGCACATTTCGCGCGGGCTGCCGCAGCTCGGCCTGCACGTCACCACCTTCCGCGACGCCACGCTCATGGAACTGACATGGCCGCACACCGTCATGGATGGCACCGGCCAGCGGGATCTGCTCGCCGCGTGGTCCCTAGCCTTGGCCGGGCGCGCGCACGACATTCCCCCGTTGGCGGGTGCCCGCGAGGACGTGCCGCGGCGCATTGCGGAGCGGTACGCAGACGCAGACGCCCGGCAGCGCCTAGAAGAAGACGACGTGATGCAGGACAGGGCGCTGATGGGGTTCGGCAAGCTGCTGTTTTTTTGCAGGCTGTTGTGGCGGTTGCTGATACGCCCGCGGGCCGACTGGCGCGTCTTTCGGCTCCCGCGGGCGGTGGTTGCCAGGTGGCGGGAGGACGTGGAAAAGCTGCCGCCGGATCCGAAGACGGGCAAGCCGCCGTTTGTGAGCGACGGGGATCTGATATGCGCGTGGCTGGTGACGCTCGCCGCCGCAGCCCGCAGCCCGCGACGGCGCGCGCGATACGTCGTCGCCGGGTCCGTCAACTGCCGTTCGCGGATCCCCGCCCTGCGGGGCGGCATATACATGCAGAACCTGCTCAGCCTGTATTTCGCCTCGGTGCCCAACGTTGGCAGCCCGGAGGACAATTCCCTGGCGCGGATCGCGCTCGCGCATCGTGCGCAAGTGGCTGCGCAGACCACCGAGACCCAGATCCTGCACCACTTTCAACAGCGGCGCGCCGAAGCCAATGCCGGTCAGAGACTGAGCGTGCCGCTGTACTGCCGCGCAGATGACGTGGTGCTCATGTGCAACAACTTGTCGGGGCTGCGGATCGGCGCGGCGGCAGGCTTTGGAGCGGCGGTGGTGGAGATGACGACCGCGGCGGATGGGACGCGGGCGTCGGGGCGGGTGGTGAGCCATTACTACTTGTCGAGTGACGATGGGAACAGGCCGACACCGTACTTTGTCTGTTTGGATCAGGACGAGGAGGGGTACTGGATTCGGGCGAATGCATCGCCGGGGACGTGGGAGAGGATTATACGGGAGATAAGCGCGGGAGAGGCGCATGTACATGTATGAGGGACATCAGTTCCCAGATCCTGTAATGGCTTATAAGAGATTGAGTGGTACAAGTTTAAACATGCACAGATTGCAACACATTCAAGACTTCAAGCATATAAAGATAAAAAACAAAGGGTCGTGTTAACGACTAAAAAAGAGAAAATGTACAGCACCCGGTGTTCGCTGGTCGTCACCGACCTAACTACTAATCTAGCGCTTAAGCATATCTATTAGAGATTAGACGGGACGTCTTCCCCCCAGGAACGACAATTAGCTAGCCTTACCCTAAGGCCTATTATAGTCCTATTACCGTCCAGAACGGTTTACTTAAAGAGCCTAGGCAACACCTCCAGGGCCGGCGCTAGTCTATAGAATTAATAGCACCTTAGCGCTAGACCCCCCTCTACTCTAAGATACGGCTATAGAGATAACACCCCCCCTCCGCTAATTACTCTATATTACTAGCGCCTATAAGTAAGGGGTTATAGCTAAATATAATAAGTAGTATAGCCACCTCTCTCTAAATAAGCATACGCCCCCTTATCACCTCCTAATATATACACTTTTTTTCTTTCCTTACTTCTAATTCCTATAAGTATTAGTATTTATATTTATTATATCTATATTATTATAAAAAATAACTTATAATAATATTAATATATTATAGCCTATTATATAGCTATAAGCTTAAGATATTAACCTAGTTAAGCTACTAATACTCTCTCTAGATATCTTAAGGTAATATAAAGATAACCTTATTAATCTAGTTAAGTTTAAAGCTATTAAAATAAAGTAATTTTATAATAGTATTTAGGGGTACTAGTATAAGTAAATATATATATATAAGTATTTAGTATTAGGCTAATACCTATTAGGTTTATAAAAATTATATTCTTTAATCTATCCTAAGTCTAGATTAATCTATATTATTAAAAAGATATAGCTAAGAGCTATTATTAGACCTTTCTAGAAGTTTATATCTTTACCTTAACTATTAGATAGCTATACTTAAGGCCTAAGGAGTAATATAATATCTATACTATTAATATAGTAGTTATAATATAAGATATTTAGGTTATACTTATAAAGAGAGCTAATTAGTAGGTTTTACTACTACTAAGATAAGGCTATAACCTAATATAGGCTAGTATTTATAATTTAGGTTTCTCTTTAAGGAATAATTTAAGCTAAAGTAGCCTTATATATAAAGTTACTAATATAAGGAGTAATATTATATACTAGAATAAATCTTACTAACTACTATATTAGTAGATTCTAATATTTATTAAAAAAATTAGGCTTTCTTTAATATAAGGGTTTAAAAAGAGGGAGTTATTAGATAAAGATATAGTATTAATCTTTTATATAGTCTAAAGCTAAGCTAAGTATATTTAATATACTCCTAACTTATACCTTATATTTTATATTATTATTATTATAATTAAAATTAGTGGTTTTTAATTAGTAAGTGTTTTAGGAATAAAATATAAAGATATCTCTTTTACTTAGACCTATAATATAGTAAATCTACTAAAAATAAACCTTATTACTATTATTATAATATATTATATTAAGCTTAGAAAATATAAGGTTTAAAGAGACTAATATTCTTAGTATATATCTTACTTCTATATATATATAGTTACTAATATATAATAGGCTTAAATTCTTTATTACCTTTATCTTATATAGGTAAGTATGTCTACTTACTATACTAGCTATAAGAGTGATTTATAATAATGCCTTTAAAGGCGGCTATATATCTATTAATTAGCTTTTACTAGAGAAGTTATTAGACTATAATTATATACTATTATATTAGAAAAGCTCTATTCTTAATATAAAAATTATATTATACTTATATAGGTTATTCTAGAAAGTGTAGAATTAGACCTTATATATAGCTAGCCTTTATAATAATAATAATATTTAGCTATATACGTTATAGGTAGGAGTTAATGGCTATCTTAATAGTATAGATAGACCTTTAAAGCCTAGGGCTAGTTAAGTATAAGAAGCTAATCTTTTACTTTTTATAGGTTTACTAACCTAAGCCTTATCTAACTATATTATATTATATACTACTAAGGTATTTAAGTAAAGCTACTAGGCTAGGTATCTTATAGTAAACCTAATAAGAATTATATTTAATAGCTATATAAGTAATAATAATTAAATAATTTATAGTCTAAATAGTATATTTTCTTACTATAACCTAGATATACTAATATATATCTTAATAGATAAGCTAGCTATATTTAAGGAAAGAAAAGATATCTAGACCCTTTAGTAGCTATATAAAGAAATATTTAAGAAAGAGCTATATAAGGTAACTACTATTAAGAACTAAATTTAATATTTACTTAACTACTTAGAGAAATTAAAGTTATAAGAAATCTATTATAAATACTTTAATATAGTTAATAATTTATAAGGTAGGTATAAGTTAATAGAATATCTAGATCTATAGCTTATAGAGAACCCTTAAAGTATAAGAGAAGTATTATCTTTTTAAAGGGCTATCTTAATTAGTAAATTAATATATAAAAACGCTAGTGTTATAACACTTAGTAAGAGTATAATTATATATCTAAAGGAATAGCTAATAAAATTTTACCTTCTTATTTCTAAGCTACTACTACTAAAGTCTACTAATATAATAGATATAAGATATCTTCTCTACTATATCTTATTTACTACTATTATAATATTATTATAGTATATTAGTACTATATATTACTTTAATAAACTATTTAATTATCTAGAGTATAAGTAAAATAGTATTTTAGTATAGGTAGAGTAGAGTTATATCTTATAAGTAAGCTATATAAAGGCTTATTATAAGTAATTTATTACCCTAAGTATTATAATTTCTCTTAAGCTAGTATATTATCTACTATATATAAAATATTTTATTAAGTAAGGATTTAGCTTATA